TATGTATATATATATATATATATATCTATATATATATATATATGTATGTATACTAGATAAGAATCACCAAATTTGAACCATATTTATTCATCTGATAATCTGTTCTGCAGATCTTCATTAGGTAGCATTGGAATTTCCATTATCCCATTTGTGCTATGTTGAGAAAGATAGTTATTTATTTATTTTTTAATTTATTATCATTTAACTACATTGAAGCTTGAAGCTTACTTGGAACTTGGAAGTGAAACTATTCATTTGACTTTGCGTGAATAAAATTGAATTGCCTATTTAACGGGCAAAAAAATGGAAAGCAATTTTCTGAACTTTCTGTCTGAATGATTTAGCTATGTAATGGTGGTTCTTAGTTCGCCAGCCATGGAATTTTAGTAATCTCTCTTTTCTTGCTTTCTTTCAATCTTGATTAGGTGAAAGACACAGTTGAGGTCGATTTCAATGTTTCTCGCCATTTGGAAGTTGAACTCGCAGCTAACGATTGGAAATTGATGGTAATGATTGCTTGCTTTTACATAGGACTGGACTCTTTGTTATTGGTCTTAAGAAGGTTATTCTTACTACTTTTATCTTTTGTGCATTTTCTTGAATACAAAATAATTCCACTCTTCATTATTTGGCTTGTTCATCATTCAATTCCATTCATTTTTTTAAGTGCTCTTTGATAAATTCGTTTTGTTCTCTCAAGCTATTCTCACCTCCACATATGTTCTTTTTGGCCCACCCTTGGCCCTTCATCTATTTTTTATTCTAAACCTTAATTGATGAATATTCTATTCCCAATTCTGCACTTTAAAGCCTCGTAAGATTATTATACATTATAATTTTTTCAGTAAGTGTTACTTTTATTGTCTCATTAGTATGATCACATCTCTCTACTTTTTCAAATTTAACAACACCTTTTAACATTCTTTTTTTTCGAAAAATTGACTTGGCCATCGTGACTTCATATTTTCTTCGTAAAATGATTTAGATATTTCCTAATATCCATGTCCTTATAACTAGGTTGATCTGATTGTGGGTTTATTGAGTATTTACCTTTTAAGTCTCCATTATGCTCTTTTTTCATACAGAACTGTTGTGGGTCTTGAGCCGCTGTTCCATTTTAGTCTACATAAAAAAAAAAAAAAGTTATGTTTTCAATCTTATCATCATCTTTATGGTTTTAGATCCAATGTACTTAAGCATATTACATCTAAATACCTCAGATCTTCCAACCATATTGCAAATAATAATTAATTTTACATTCCTTGTAGTTACATATGATGATCTTAACTTTGTTTCTATAATGCCAAATGTCAATGTTCTTAATTATTTTTTTCATTACTTAAAGTTTTCACTTGAAAAGTTGTCGAGATGTGTCTGAGATGGAAATAAGGTTGGGAGAATTAATTCTAATTCCCTTAAGGGAATTAGAATTAATTGGTAGTCCCTTAAATTGAGTGAATTAGAATTAATTTGTAATCCCTTAAATTAAGGGAATTAGTGAAATAGTTTCCTAGTTTTTCTACTTGTAATCTCTTATATAATACCTTGTATTATCAATTTAAAGAAGTAAGTGAAATACAAAATTATTTCTCTGATTTCCCACATGGTGTCAAAGCCAGGGCTCAAACCCTAGAGGACACCGCCGCCTGTTGCTGCCATTCTATCCTTTCCGCTTAGGGTCATTCGGCTCTCCTCCGCTATTCGCCTCTAGGGTTGCTTGCAGCCATTTGATTCTTTTTCGCTGCCACGAGGAAGATCGTCAAGAAGCGCGTAAAGAAGCAGATCTTGCGATCGCTATGAGGATTCTTTTGCCACTGAACCGC